GGGCCTCCGCTCCGTCCTCGCCCCTGGCGAGCCCCGACTACTACGAGAGGCTGGGCCGCCTCCAGCACGGGCTGCGGGACAGGTACGGCCTATCGGAGCGGGGGCTGGGAGCCGGCCTGCTCCGAGGGCCCGCTGGTGCCAGAGCCCCTGTGGCCTCGGCGTCTCCCGCCCGTGGCGCCCCTGGGCCCGGGTCTGCACGCGACACCCCCAAGCCCCGGGTGAGGCCTGGAGGGCAGAATTTCCCAGAGTCGCCTCCCTGACCGGAGGTCTCCCGCCGCAGGATGCGGCCGCGTCACCGAATTGCCCTGAAGTGGGAGTAGGCGTCCCCCCGCCTGTCATTCTCAGTCAGGCCCCGTGAGCGTCTCTAGTCGCCACCTACGCTCCTCCCCCCAGGTGTCTCTTCACGTCGCCAGCCCCCCGCGGCGCAGCGCCGGCGGCGACGAGCGCGGGTCCAGGAGCGTGCGCGTGCGCCTGTGCGTGCGGGGGTGTGCGTGCGTGTGTGCGTGCGTGCGTGCGATTGAGTGTGTGAGAGAGAGAAATATGCGTCCTGTCTAAATACAGAAGACTTTGGGGGCCGGGTATCCAGCGCAAGGATGAAATTTCCAGCCAGGGAAGTCCAGCTTCCAGAGGGCCCGTGATACCTTGATTAATAACTTGATTAAGACTTGAAAGATGAGAACCACTGAAAGCAAGATCTGAGCGCGTAAGAGAGGAAATTATAAAGCGATTTACCATAACTAATCACATAAGAGATAAGTTGTCGGAACTATTACTTAGCTGCTGAATTAATTGAAATTAGAAATCTCATTAGTTGACAAGAAAGGAAATAGAGTTTTGGATCTGTTGATTAAACGTTTGAGTGTTAAAAGTTACGAAGTCATCTTAGTGAAGAGGAGAGCTGTGTGTGTGTGTGACAGTTCTAAAACGACGATTATATATGTAAGGGAAAGGCAGACGTGGTTTTTGGAAGGAATTATATTCATCGTATGCTGGCTTTGATTCTTGCCAAATACTCATAGAGCAGCTGCAATAGGCCTTCTTAATTGTCCTAATCATATTTCACCTCTTAATCTTTTCCTACATGCTCTTTTCTTTCTGACCTGCCACTACCCATCCATCCCAGCAACCTCCTCACCTCCAACTTTTAAAAACTCACTTTCTGAAGTTCATCCCTAACTTAGGAGACCTCGGATTCCTACACCACTCTAGATAACGGCTTTAAGTGACTGCCTAGACTGAGAATTCCAGGAGGACAGGAACTATATCTGGCTGGATCTTTAGCTAGTGATAGAGTACCCGACATGGAGGAGGGGCTTGATAAATGTTTGTCGAATGAATGGAAGAAATCCCAGAGTCAACCAGCTAGTGTCCAGGAGTTACAAATGTCTTGTATAGAACCCAGTAGCCACACATTGGGACTACGTAATGACCATCTTCCAAGCAATCAGGAAAAGTGGACGGTGCAGTATTTCAAAGATGCTATTCAGTGTCTGCACATACCTGATAATTAAGAGACAAGACATTGCTCTGTACATTAGTATACTTAAAGTGCTTTTCTGACTGCTCTGTAAAAGAGTAGCCAATAGTTACTCCACGCCTTTAGTTAGTTGTATCTCTTAGCCCACGTTCTAATTTCAGAATGTTACTGGTTCAAATAACATTCTTTTTGAACGAAGTTAATTGTGAGTTATCATTTTTGCTTCCTCTGCTAGAACACCTGGCTGTTTATAGTCCTTATAGTATAACTATGTAATTACTATTGCTCACTTTATGTTTAACATTTAATGCTTTATTTAGCAAGGTGAGGCTGTTGAAATGATATATAACAAATTTGAGTCAAATTGCATAACCTGTTCATGGTTCTGGATTTGGTTTTATTTTTAAGTCAGTACAAATCTGTTTCTGTGTGTATTCACTTTTTATTTTATTATTTTATTTTAAAGTCTATAACTAGCTCTAACTCGTAGTTAATAAATACAGAGGCAAATAACTTTGGCTTCAGAGAAAACTGCAGTAGAAATGTGGAAACCTGGGTTTGAGTCTACGAACAACTGTGTGACTTCAAGTAGGTCGTTCAGCTTCTCTGAACCTTAGTTTTTCACCTGAAATGAGGAGCCCTGATTAATATGCAAAGTAAGACCACAGATTTTTTTTTCTCTCTACTAAAGAACCTCAGCGTAAAAAAAGTTGAAAGGTGTAGTTTTGCAGAGCAAACTGAATATCTTGGACTATAGGTTGAATCCCAAAGCTGGATGTTTCAAAGGTTCTGAAATAACGTGTGGAAACTGCAAGAGGATCCTCCAAATAAGCCTTTCTCTGGCTTTTATTGGAGTAAATATATGGTTCTAAGTCTTAAATTTAAAATATATATGAAAGATAGCACTCAGAGGCGGTGGGGCGTGGACAAGGCGGCTAGAAAATGGGCCTGAGATGAAGCGATAATGGGATTAGAATAATTTTGCCTGGAATAAAAGGCCAAGAGGTGTTTGATTGTGCTTTTTCAGCGTGTGAAGTGTCACGGTAGAGAACAAGCAGATGTCTGTCTGTATTGTAAGTTGTGAGAAAGAAGACACCTACTGAGAAGGGCTACCAGTAGCTAAGTGGGCTCAAGATTAAAAAACAAAAACAACCAAAAAGCAGCCTAGCAGCCATTTCTACACAAGAACTGCTCATTCAAACTGCACTTCAGGGAGAGACCTGCACTGAACTACCTGCCCCGGGTTTCTGCGGCTGAGCCAGCCCTTATAAAGGAGTTTCTGGAATCCTATTCCAACCAATAGGATGAGACTTCCCCCATTTGGTCAGAGCTGCACAGTTCCAGCCAATCAGAGCAGCTCCATTCTGACCAATCAGGATAGTGTCTTTTGGATCAATTCAGCTGTGCCCACTTGGAGTGCTTATTTGCATGAGGACAGACCAATCAGGGATGGGGTGGGGACTTCTGTCCATATAAGCCAGCTCCCAAGTGCCTCTGAGAGCTCACTTTCCACTGAGGAGTATGTTTCCCCTTTGAGCTGAAACACCGGAGGGCTCTCAGGAGCAGAGCGGAGCTGTGTATCTGGAGCGAGGCCTGGTTCCAGGGCTGCCTCACAGTCAGGCTGTATCACAATTCAACTGTTTTGCACTGAATAAAGTTTCCTTCTTTGCCACCCTAAAATGGGGATGCCTGTTGGTTTTGAATTATTGCCAGTAACCATCAGTTGACTATCTGTTGACAGTTGAGTAGGAGCAAAGAAGTTTAATGTTCATTATTAAAAAGAACTTGCTGCTTGGGAGCTGATGGATTTCCAGGTTATGGTCCTGTTACAAAGTTATAAAAAGAAATTCCCCCAAATGTCATTGAGGCCAGGTTTATTTTTCAGAGACCTATTCCTACCTCAGCCATGTGATTTTGCACAAGCTTAACTGGTTGGGAGCAGAGCAAGCCACTAGTCTTTAGTCCCCATTGGGTTTGTGGAAGCATCATGTCTGGTCCTGATAAACCCCCATTGCTCAAGTGCCACCAACTCAGAGATGTCTGGCTATATTATATCTTACATATTTACCTGTTTATTGTCTGTCATTCTGTCTGTTCTTGGTTGCCTTGTTCACCGTATTAGTCTCTAAGCCTAGAATAGTGCTTGACTCATCATGGGACTCAAGAAATACTTGCTGAATGAATGAACCAGGTTCCCGGCCTTTTCTTACGGCATTTCCCCATTTACTATGAGGATCTTGTACTTTTTGCTTTATATTTGTGTCCTCTTTGCTTTTTAGACATTCCTGGTGACTGCTAAGTAATTTTGTGTCTTGAATTTCAAATACAGCTGGCATTTTCTGCTTCTCAGAGAGACCAGAGAAGCATTCTCACAAAAGTGTGGTTTCAAAGGAGATCATATTCTAAATTCAGCAGTCTATAACTTACCAGTGTAATTATTCATAAAATATTTTCTTTCTGTTCCATAGTGAAAAGAAGAGATTGGACCTGGAAAAGAAACTTTATGAATATAGTCAGTCTGATATATTCAGGTAAGATATGATAGTGGTAACAGTTTTTAAGCCACTTTGTATATGTTAATCAATTAAAATTTAATCCTAAGTATGTTGTAAATACCATAGTTGCAGTACTTTTACCATTCTTTTTAATATGTAATAGTTTCAAATAAACACTGTAATATAATGACTGTCAAATGTAAGAATAAATTTAATTAAAATTAGTATAAGGTAAAAATTATTTTTTTCATTATTTAGAATCTATTTTGCTTAAATAGCTTAAGAATAAGACACATTATAGTATGCTATCATTTTGTTCACAATTTACCCATTAAGTCTGTGTAGTAATTAAGGCATAATTACTATAGCTGACCTTTCAACAAACTGTTGTAGGCAGGGTTACATAGTTTCTCATTTGTTCATGGATATATGACAATGAATGTCAAAGTTATGGGCAGTAGATAATATTGAATAATTTATTGAACTAACAATACAAATGCTACTGGTACTTTTATGAATTATGTACTTGTGAAAAAGAAAGAGCTAGAATTAGCAGTGTTAGTTCTATGAGTGGGCTGTACATCTTGAGTCTTTTGATACTACACTTTGGATGGTCCCTAAAGATTTTTTTTCACAATTTGAGTACAGTTACAGTCTATATGTTATTAAAAAATACTTTAATAATATAGTATGTTGTTGCAATTTCTAACAAAATTTAAAAATTACATCTAAGTGAGAACTTTTTAGTTTAAATTTCAAACTTTCTTAATGTTTATGGATTGTGGTTTATAGTTTGATTTCCATAAGAGCAGGTAGTTTTGACATTGTCGTTAAAAAGAAAGCTGATGGGCTTTTCCTCTGAACATGGCCATGTAGACACCACTCTTAGAATCACATTTAGCCCAGCCCGGCGTGGCTCAGCGGTTGAGTGTCGACCTGGGATCCAGGCGATCGGGGTTCGATTCCCGGTCAGGGCACATGCCCGGGTTGCGGGCTCGATCAATGATTCTCTCATCATTGATGTTTCTATTTCTATCTCTTTCTCTCCCTCTCCTTTCCTCTCTCTGAAATCAATAAAGATTTTTTTTTTTTTAAAAAAGAATCACACTTAATTTTGAGAAAGAAACCCAAATAAATCTTTACTGTGTGACTGTTATAATGTGGTCTTGTATATATTTCTCAGGAGAGTTATGCCTACATGTGCTATCTCAGTGATGTTGCATTCATTTCTTCTTTCTAAAAATGCATATACATTCCATCCTTTAGGTTTCAGTGTGGGGAAAATACTATAGAATACATTGTTTCACTAACAATTTTATTAAATTCTCCTAAACTAATAAATGTTAAACTTGGTGCCCTACTGTTGCAAGAACTATCATTATAGCGGAGCAGTTCATAACTTAGTCCTCAAAATGGACCAGAAGAAGGAAAATGCTTCTTTCCCAGCGGCACTTTGTATATTCCACAGGGCTGTGCTAAATAAATGTACATTACGTGTTTTCCCACCAAAGCAGAATGCAATAAACATCTTCAAATTCAATTTTTAAAAAAAAGAAAATTCACACTCTTAGTCAGAATACAACTTTGCTGTTTCAAATCTGCTTTTATTTTTCTAGAGCTAAACTGAAGTATATAAAACTAAAGAAATACCTGAAGGAAATATGTGAATCAGAAAAGAAGGCTTGTACTCGAAACCAGGAATATTTAAAGCAGTTTGAGTGTATCCAAGCTCAGATTGGACACTTTACCTCAAATACTGAGAAGTTTCAAGAACTAAAGGTGACATCTTGTTCTGTTCTATGGTTTTTAAAAATACTTTTCTGCTAAAATCAGAAATAGTGAGCAGTAAGTTTCAGATAAGTGGCAGTCACAATGTTCAGTTGTTCGTCTATAAGATTGTCAGTTTTCTTTATGAATTATCACATGGCCAAATTTTGATCAAAGCACTTGAAATTTCATTTTCTCAGATTCCTACTTTAGTTGAGGAATTAATGGAATATCTATACTTTGTTGTACTGTACAAATTGTTAACTTAAAACGGGTACATACATCACTAGCCACCGCCTGGCACATGGTATCATTGGCCTCATGGTTGAACTTGACCAGCATTAGAGTTCCCTCTAGAGACTGCTTCCTTCTTTAAATGATTTTTCCTATGGTCTGGACTCCTCTGTTCTGGTCGTTCAGGCAGTGTGGTGAGGGAAGACTGAGGGGATAGAACTGGCCCTGAGGAGTTTGCCTTCATGTTCCTCACCTTGGGCCCCAGACCAATTGCTCTTATCATCTCTCTCTGATTCTGGTGTCCCATTCCTTTAAGGAGCTTGGCAACCTTCTGCTCTACAAGTTATGCCAAGTATGAAGGGCTGGACCCTTTGTCTCAGCACTTTTGTTGGTCAAGGGTTGTTGCCTAAGTTAACCCACTGAATACTGGTTACAGGAGAAGTGGCTTCAGTATTTCCCTTTTTCCCCTCTAGCACTTTTCTCCCCAGCCTTTTATTGTAAAAATTCCAAGTACACAAAAAAATTAAAAGAATTATCCTAACAAACATTAATGCTATGGTCTGAATGTTTGTGCTCCCCCCAAATTCATTTATTGAAATTCTAACCCCCCAAAGTGAATATTGGTAGGTGGGGCCTTTGAGAGATGCTTAAGTCCTGAGAGTGGAGCTCTCACAAGTGGGATGAGTGTCTTATAGAAGAGGTTTCAGAGACCTCCCAGCCACTTCCACCAGGTGAGGACACCCTGAGGAGGTGGCTGTGTACCAGAAAGACGGCCCTCACTAGAAGGCGGCTGTGCTAGGCCTTGATCTTGGACCCTCAGCCACCAGAACTGTGAGCGATACATTTCTGTTTTGTATAATCCACCATCAGGGGTGTTTTATCATAGCAGACCAAATGGACTAAAACAACTTCTATACTCTATCGAGATGCACTACTTGTAAATATTTTGCCATATTTGCTTTGCGTGTGTGTATTTTTGAAAGTGTGTTGCAGACACAATGACAATTCTCCCCTAGTGGACGTTCTCCTACATGATCATAATGCCATTTATTATCACACCAAGAAAATTAATAATGATTCCATAATATCCAGCCTATATTTAAATTTCCCCAGTTCCAGACCAGGAGCCAACTATGGTTTATACATTACATTGGTTATTGTGCCTTTTTTTGGTTTCTTAATCTAATTTAGTGTCTCATCACTCTTCCTTTTTTTTCCCATAGCACTGGCTCTTTGAAGAAGGTAGACTTGTAGAATGACTCACATTCTAAATTTAACTGGTTATTTCTTTGAGATATCATTTAGCTGGTGTTTGTGTTACGTGCGGTTGAGTTGGGTGAACAGAAGTAAATTGTGCAGAGTGAGGAAGCGAATAGAAAGGCCCTCCTGAATTTAGCTGGGCAGCATCAAGCCCAGTGTGTGAGCAGCCCAGTAACAGAACCATTACCTGATGCACTAATTCAGTGCTTTTGGGTCTACTAAAGCAGATTTCCCCTGGGGAGGTAGGGGATGTGGGGTTATCCTTAGAGAAGCTCTGGACCAGCAGATGGTGCTGGGACATGGGTAGTTTGGCCCCTGAAGCAGCAGATCTCTGACTGTGAGGAATCTAGGCCACATGGTGAGAAGAGAACAGGGACCAGAGTCTGCACCAGAGAGAAAGAATGCAGTTAAGCCCTGGTGTATTGTGGAAACAGGAGAAACATATATGTACAAATAAAAGGCAAAGAAAGAGAGCAGAGCAGTTTTAGGTGGAAATCCATGGCCGTAGGTAGTACAGAGTTCCAGTTTGTATCAATTACCAATTTGTCATAGTAACATTTTTTATTTCAACTATATTGTGCAGTACTTATTTGAATAATTAGTAAAGAATGTATAGCTCAGTAAATTTTTCAGGTGCACTGAGAACAATCTAAGTTGGACTCTCGAAGATACTTTTCCTTACTGATCCTTATGAAGCCCTAATGCAGTTGTCACTTTTTGCTTCAGCAAAATGAATGTAATAATACTGTGATGTTTCCACGAGCAAGTGCTCTGTCTTTGGAAGCTATGGCTCTGAAATAATTCCATAATGAGGAAATCAGATGCAATACCATTGCATGTTGGTAACTGATCTCAAAGAGCAGAAGAAAACATTTGTAGTCATGGGAACAAAAGATCTTTGCTTAACCTCTGATTACTTAATAAACCTCTGTTGATTTTGTAATCCACTCTCATCCCCCCTTTTAAAAATTATTTTTATTTATTTATTTTAATGGAATTTATTGGGGTGACATTGGTTCCCAAAACCATACAGGTTTCAAGTGTACAGCTCAACAAAACATCATTTGCACACTGCATTGTGCACCCATCACCCCAAACAAAGTCTCGTTCCATCCCCATTTCCCCCTCTTTGTCCACCTCCACTTAGCCCCCACTCCCCTTTCCATCTGACCATCACCACACTGTTGTGTCTATGTGTTTTACATATATGTATATATGTTTTTGTTTAATCCCTT